CCTTCCGGTGCAAGCCCTACCTGGTGGCCCACATCCGCATCCACACGGGGGAGAAGCCCTACGCCTGCAGCCGCTGCCCCAAGCGCTTCTCCCAGAAGTCCAACCTGGTCTCCCACGAGCGCCTGCACACGGGGGAGAAGCCCTACGCCTGCCCCCTCTGCCCCCGGGTCTTCAGCCAGGGGTCCAACATGCGGGCCCACCAGCGCAGCCACAGGAACGTGGCCCCCGTGGACGTGGAGGCTGTCTTTCGCCAGGGATACTCGCCTGCTGGACAGACTCAGCCGCCCCCCAACTAGGACCACCGGGCTGTTTGGCAAGCGGTGAGCCCGCCTCCCTCGGGCGTTTGCCTCGGCCTTCCTGGGCTGCCGTCTTTCCCTTGGGTGAGGGGTCCTCCCCTGCCGTGAGGCTCCACAAAACCCTCTGAAAGGCTTTCAAGCCCCCCTCCTCCGGAAATGTCTGCAGGACACTCGCTCACGCACTCACGCGCACGGTTGGCAAGGCAGCGCTGACCTTTGCTTGGGCCAATTCAGCAGCCTCATGAGGATCCTGTGGGCTGGGCTCAGGACATGGGGGCAGGGTGGAGGTGGGGGGCACCAAGTGGGAAGCAGCCTTCCGTCCCCTAAAGGGTGTGGCCGGGACTGTGTCCCCCCCCCCCCCGGGGGNCGGCCACCCATCAGCGAAGGAAAAGCACTCAGCCCATGTTTAGCAGCAAGGGCTCCTTCGCCCTGAGCCTGCGCATCTCCCCCATGATGGTGGGAAGAGCGCCAGGTGGAAGTCAGCAGGCGGATCAGAGGCTTCCTGCGGGGGATGCGCCTGCCGTGCTCGCTGGCCTCTCGTCCTCCTTTAGTCCGGAGCGCTGCTGCCTGCTGAGCCCAGGGACCGCGCAAGGAAGGAGTGGACGATGGCGCTGCAAGGCCGACAGCACGCCAGAGAGTTATCATCGCCCAAAGGGTCTGTTTGACCCTCTGGAATAATTCCGGCCTGAGCAGGTGAGCCAGTTTGTGGGAAATGGAGCTTCCTTCAAAGAAGGAGCAGCAGCTGCACGCTGCATGTCCTTGCTGTGGTGGAAGTGGCCGGCGGCGCACAAGGTTCAGCCAATTGGGCAGGAGCGCCTGGTCCCCGCATGGGGACTCTGCCCTCCCTCCCACCTGCCAGCCCCACCTCTGGCCTACCTCTGTCCACACCTCGCCTCCACTTCCTCCTCTCCTGAGCCACTTCGGCTGCGGCTGCTGCACTTCGGCTGCATGAACACGGGGCAAGTTGTTCGGCACGCTAGTCTAATTTAGAATTATTTATATCTGGGATTTTCCTTTTCTTTTTTTTGGTGAAGACTTGTAAAAAAAAAAAGTTTGGCTCATAAACCCCTAATGCTAATTTAAAGAAACAGAGCAAAGAAAACAGGCTGTCCTTTGTAGGTGCCCCATTTTGGGCATAAGCAAGGTTCCCTTTTCATTTTAATTTCCTATTGTATACTCTTTTAAATAAATAAAAACAGTAGATGTTAATTTTGAAAACCTGGCCGTTCAACCATGTTGCTATCCGACCAGTCGTTGATCGGTGCCGGTCGACAACAGGAGGGGGTGCCGGTGAAACAAAGGTAGGAGCACACTTTAAATATAAATACTTTTAAAAACTGAACTAGTATGAGCTTTTGAGTTACACTGAACTCTATATCCCAGTAATCTCTTTTTCAATGGGTCAATACTAAATATATGTGTTGCAGGGCCAAAAAAAGGAGTGCGGGCAGTCTGACTCCCCCGTATGAAGCATGTTCTTTGCATGAGGACAAATGTGGTTTTGTGTTTTTCATCTGGCTTCCTGGCGAAGGATGCTGTGCAACCCAGAGGTTAATGAGCGTAGCACTTAGCATTACTAGGTTGCAGCATCAAATGCACCAACTACAGGCCACACTATGGGGTTATTGATGATATTATTGCATGGATGGAAGTTCCAGCCTGAAAATGGAGATGTACTCGAGGCCCAGCTCGTTTAGAGGGAGGCAAGTTTTGACCTGCGAATGATTTCCCAGGTACCTGGGGTTCAGTGGCCCTTAGCAGGTATGGCACACCGGCTCTGAGGGAAGGCACCAGTCCCCCCCCGCCCACACACCTGGCGGAGTTTCAATAAGGGCTGTTTTCTGGACATTCAAGTGTTCAAAGCCGAAGTGGTGCCGCGCTGGAACACGGCTTAGAGAGTCTAAATTCATCACCTGCTCCATTTATGCTTCTTTTCTGCTGCTTTTTGTCTGGGGGGGGGGTGGAGAGAGGGGGGGGAGAGAGAGAGAAGAATCCTGTGTGCAGTTTTTGCTGGAACCCAAGGGTGACCTATTGCTGTTTTGATAGAAGCTGCCAAACCACGGTAGTTGTCGTTTTTGGAAAAGGTCGCCCCGTCCGTCCGTCCGTCCGTCCGTCGGTGCCAGCGTTATCAGGCCGAATGCCAAGCCACGAACGGAAAGGAAGCCAGGAGGCAAAAACGGGCGGCCTTTTCAAGAGTGCTCTGCCTTAACGTCAGCTTCCGTGTGGAACAGGGTCGCCTTCAGACGTTGAGAGACGGGGGGGGGCACGGAAAGGAAGCGTCGTTGCTCGCGGGGGCTGCAGCCCCCTTTCTCTTTCAGCAAAGGCAACGCCAAGCAAGGCGAAGGGAGCAAAGCCCACCCCAAGGGGAAGAAACGGCCCCGGGAGAGGGAAGCCCCCCTCGGGCTGGAAGGCGGCCCCCTCCCCTCCCTCGGCGGCGCACGAGACGGACGCGGGGCCCCGGGCAGAGGCTCTTGGACTACATCTCCCAGAATCCCACGGGCAGAAGGGGCGGTGGGGAAAAAACGACTAGCCCGCTGCTGAGAGGGGCTTTTGGACGTTTAACGCTTTCCCGGAGTCTGGCATTAATCCACCAATCACAGGAGGCCCCGGGAGAGGGCGATCGGGAACACGCGTCGAACTGAGCGATCGTAACGCTGTACCGTGTCAAGAGCTCCCTCCCTCTTTCCAGTCTTTCTTGTTTAGGTTCGCTTTCTTCCCTTCGGGAGCTCGAGGGTTAACGAAACATCTTTGCCCGGGGCGTAGGGGGCGGGGCGCAGTAGGGGTCTGACGATTGGCTCACCCCGCACCCAATGATATCCCCCGAGCTGCGCGCCGCAGCCAATAGTAGGCGCCCTTTTGGACCTCCTCTGACCTTGCTCTCCTCCCTGTATTTTTTTGGGGGGGGGTTGCCAGGCATATCTCCCGCGGTGGCTCCGCCCCCTGAGCAAGATTGCCAGGCGCGGCGGCCAATCCCTGCACCCAACCTGCCAGCGGTGATGCCGCACTTGGTCCACCTCGTGCAAGCGCGGAGGGTCCAGCGGGTGGCCGAAGGCGGGGCGGAGAGTCCGGCTCGCCAGGTAGCCCTTCCCTTTGTTTTATTTTTTAATTATTTTTTCCCGCGGGTCGGGGAGGGAGGCTGTCCAGCCAAGATTGCCAGGCGCGGCGGCCAATCCCTGCACCCAACCTGCCAGCGGTGATGCCGCACTTGGTCCACCTCGTGCAAGCGCGGAGGGTCCAGCGGGTGGCCGAAGGCGGGGCGGAGAGTCCGGCTCGCCAGGTAGCCCTTCCCTTTGTTTTATTTTTTAATTATTTTTTCCCGCGGGTCGGGGAGGGAGGCTGTCCAGCCCAGCCTCTCCCGGTCGCGCGGCGCTCCCCCGGTGGCTCCGCATCTCCCCTTGCCCGTCCTCCGGAGGACGTTTCGGCCACGCCTGGGGAGCATTCCCCCGCCTCCCACCCCCAAAAAGGGATTTTAAAGGGGAAGCAGCTGCAGCGGCAGCAGGTTCGAGACCTGGAAGAGGCCTTGGCAAGCGGGGTGGACGGGGAGGAGGAGGAGGAGGAGGAGGCGCCCCCTCTCTGGCGCGGAACGGGACCCCTTCGCCTCGGCGGGTGAAAAGGGGCTCGTCTGTCAGCAGCAGCTGCGGCGGCTACGACCTCTCCGGC